TATCAACAATTGTCAAAGTCATACATGAAAATAAATTAAATGAAACTCCTATAAATTCTGAAAGTATTAAAACCATTCTTCTGACAAATATGAAAGAAAATAAATTAACATTAAACAAACAATCACTTACATAGGAATTCCCTTACCTATTTATTTTTTATGGATCACACGTCTATAAGAATAGTACAATGGAATGCTCAGAGTTTGCTTAATCATAAACATATTTTTTCACAGTACCTTTATGAAAATGAAATACATATTGCTCTTATATCTGAAACTTGGTTACAGAGTACGAAATCTTTTAATATAAAAGGTTATAAAATTGAAAGATTAGACATTGGTTCAAAACATAATGGTGTTGCTATCTTAATTAAAAATTACTTAAATTATCAAAGAATACAAACATATTATGATAGCTCCTTACAAAATATTGCTATCACATTACAAATCAATAATGAATCCCTATCTATAATTAGTTTCTATAGCCCTTCTTCTGCTACCCCTTCAAATTTTAATTACGTATATTTGGACAATCTAGTGAAATCTGTACCAAATCCTTTAATATTAGCTGGTGACTTTAATGCACATCACACTATGTGGGGTTGTACATCAACTGACACTCGTGGTTCTACTCTGTTGGATGTTATAAATGATAACAATCTATGTCTTTTAAATGATGGATCAGTAACAACAGTTGGTTCCCACAACTGGCGACCAAATGCTTTAGATTTGACAATAGTTTCTCCCACTTTAGCTTTAAGATGTAACTGGCAGGTGCACGATGACCCCTTATGTAGTTACCATCTCCCAGTCCTTACTAGTCTATTACTGAATCCTGTAAATAATAATAATAACAATTGTGGTGTAAATTATTTTAGACCAAATTATAGAACAGTAGATTGGAAAAAATATACTAAATTGGCAGATATAAAACTAAGTGCATGTGCTTTTGATAAAAACAATCCAGATGTGTGTTATGAGATGCTAATTAATAATTTACTACAATGTGTATCTGATGCAAATCTTTCAACTAAAAAATCATTTCAAAATATACAATACAAAAATAAAAAGAAATTAAATCTGCCCTGGTGGAATGATATTTGCAAAAAGGCTGTGGATAGTTGTAAAAATGTTTATATACAATTTAAACTAAACCCTACTGAACAAAATTACATTTTATTTAAAAGTAAGCAAGCACAAAAGAAACTTATTATTAAACAAGAAAGACAAAAGGCATGGTCGGATCTTTGTAATACTTTTAGTCGTCATACTCCTTTGTCAACTATTTGGACTAACCTTAGAAAATTTAATAAAACCTACATTCCTTCATCCAGTGGCATGAACAACAACAACTGGATACAGGCATTCTTAGATAAATACACATCTAATACTAATAGTCAAACTTTAAGTGACAGTATTTGTAATCACATATCAAATGTTGACAATTTTTTTATGAAATCATTTACACTTAATGAACTGTTAAGTGCCATTCATTCTCGAAAGGATACAGCTTTTGGTCTAGATAATATCTCATATAAAATGTTTAAAAATCTCAATTCATCCAGTTTACAAATTGTTCTTAATATTTTCAATCTACTATGGCATAATTTAATAATCCCCAAATCTTGGAAAGTTGATTGTCTTATTCCTATTCTTAAACCAGGAAAAAGTAGTGGTCATCATGACTCCTACCGACCAATAGCATTAACATCCTGTGCAGGAAAATTATTTGAGCAGTTATTGAAGCAAAGACTTGAGTACTATATAGAACATAATCATTTAATATCTTATAATCAATTTGGCTTTAGAAAAGGGCGATCAGCTGTTGAAAGCTTGAGTCACTTATACCTTGATATAAATAATGCTTTTTCTAAGAATAATTTCTTAATTTGTGTTTTCTTTGACATAACAGGTGCCTTCAATAATGTCGACCATCTTGTTTTAGTAAATGAATTAGCATCTCTTGGGTTACCTGCAAAATTAATCAAATGGATTTTTAATTTCTTAAACAACCGTAAAGTTTATGTCAGGTTTAAAAATAATTTATTTGGTCCACAGCAGTCAAACAAAGGTGTTTGCCAAGGAGGAATATTAAGTCCCTTATTATTTATTTTGTACATTTACAAATTAAATAATGTTTTAGGTAATGAAATATGTAATCTCCAATTTGCTGATGACCTCACAGTCTACTGTGCTGGCAAAAGTATTCAAGAAATTGAAAAAAAACTTAATACTGCATTGGTAAAATTGAAAGCTTACTTTGATTACTTGAAATTAGAAGTTAACCAAAATAAAACTAGTGTGGTAGTATTCAATAAATCTAAAATGTTACTTACCAACATCCTTTATAATGGTATCTCACTTCCAGTTAGTGAAGAAGCAAAATTTTTAGGAGTTACATTTATGAGAAATTTATCATGGGTCAAACATGTTTCAGTTTTAGCAGACAGAGCATTAAAAGCATTCAACATCTTGAAATCATTGGCTTCCACTTATTGGGGTGCTGATCCAAAAATCTTGTTAATGTTATATAAATCTATAGTTCGTGCTCACTTTGAGTACAGCTTTATGTGTTACTCCTCCAATCATCATCTCATTGATAAACTGGAAAAAATCCAAAATAAAAACCTTAGACTCATCACAGGTGCAATGAACACAACACCTATAATATCTATGCAAATAGAATGTAATATTCCCCCTCTATTAATAAGATTCAAATATTTAAAATTTAAGTTTATAGTTAAGCTCTATAGAATAAACAATCAACCGCTTTTAAATAAATTACGTCAGAATCTACCCCAAATAACATCTTCATCAAATTCTAAATATCCATATATTTTACATGATCTCAATGAAACAATAACATTTATTAATCAATATAATATTTATTCTGATGAACATTGGGCTTGCTATAGTGGCTCATATGAAAGCAAATTTACCTCAATTGAAACGGTTATAAACACCGCATTGCAAACAAAACAAGATGTTTATGAAATGTTAAATACCTGGCCAGAACACGAAGTAATTTACACTGATGGTTCGAAAAGTGAATTTGGAGTCTCAGCAGCATTTTATCATAGTAAAATGAAATATGGCAAAGGCTACCGTTTACCACCTATCCTCAGTATATTTTCGGCTGAAGCAATGGCAATTTTATTGGCTTTACAATATATTGAAACTGACATTATCTGTTCTAACAAAAACAATTTTCTTATAGTCTCCGACAGTATGTCTGTACTTAAAGCCCTTAATCGCTCAGGTTTTGAAAATAATAATTATTTACTTTATGAAATCAGAGAAATTTTAAACAAACTGACAATGACAAAACAAAAAGACGTAAAATTTATATGGACGCGAGCACATGTTGGTGTGGCGGGTAACGAAAAAGTCGATTTCCTTGCCCGTCTAACAAACACAACGGGAGGTAATATAAAAGATATACCTGTTTCTTGGCAAGATTTGTTACCTGAATATAGTAATAAAATTAATCAGCAATGGAATGAAGAAAATGTCATAATAACTCAGTCAAAAGGAACCTGGTATGCAAGCATTAATAAAGAAGTTGGACGAAAACCATGGTTTGCCGTCTCCAAGGACTATCTGCAAAGGAAATTTTATACGCAAATAACCAGATTGCGTTTTGGACATTGTAGGTCTAAGGCTCACTTGCACCGTATGCGCATTATAACATCCCCGATTTGCACTGAATGTTCATTACAAGAAGATCAATCGTTGGAACACATTTTCTTCACATGTCCTGCATTCAATTTACAACGTTTACTACTAATAGATCAGCTTTTAGACACTTCCAAGACCATCCCGCCCTCTCTTCAAGAAATTCTATCACACCCAGAAAACTTCATTCCTGTTTATAATTTTATTAATTCTACTGTTGGAGAAATTTAACCAATATTACAGACTTGATGCGTACATAAAATAAAAGAAAAGAAATAAACACGTAAGATCTGGCAGTATGGCTCAATCGCCTTCGCCTGTCCTTAGCGGACGAAGTTTACCTAGGCTGTTACATATTACTTGTGAAAGTCGGAAACTTTGCCAATGGTTCGCAAAACTAAGACGTGAGATCTAGTACTGACAAGAATCGGCAAGAAACTCAGCAAGGGCTGCTTTTTCTCCCTGTTTTATTTCAAACAGAGAAGTCTATCTATCTATCTATCTATCTATCTATCAAACAGAGAAGTCTTATTGAAATGTGACTTAACTAGACTATGAAGTCACTTTCCATTACATTATCAGAAATCCTATATACGAATTGACAAATCTATATACAATATTCACAATAAAATAAAATGGACAAAATTAAGTAGTTCAGTGCAGACTCCCCCACTGGCAGCACCCGTTGACGAGCTTGACACATTTGCAAAGATCGAAACTTAGATATCAATATAAACACGAAAAAGTACAAATACAATATGAGTTGTTTATTGAGTTTTGAAAATTAATTTACTTTTATACATGAAAGAAAACCGTAAGGGTTGTCATGGAGAAATCAAGAAAGTACTGTAGTGATTCTTTGATTTCGGGAACAAATATTTTTTTTCAAATTATTTTCGCGACAGAAATGCAGTAAATTGCAGACTTGGTTCACGTTATAATCTTTCTTACAATGGCCAGGGTCTGCAATCTCTAGTAAAGATAACAAAACCTTTATTTGTTTTTAATTTTTTTTTCTTTTTTTCTTGCCCGTTTTGTGCATTAGCTACAAAGGGGTTTAAAAGTTAAGAAAACAATTCTACCAATGGGAAAAGGATTGTAGAAGCAGAATTTGGAAAAGATAATAGGATAATAATATACGATAGATTGTGTTTTAAAATTTCTTATTATTTTCTTTTCTTATTAAAACATTAATATTTTCCGAATGCTTAGCAAAAAAATATTAAATAAATTGATAAACTAAAATCAATTTTATTATTTTCTTACTGGCCACTTTTTCCAATACGTGGCATAGGCACGGAGACTTCCACGTTCGCCGCCATTTTGACATACAGCGAATTGTAAAGAATTCAGTGAAGTGTAGCGTTTTTTTTCTTTAAAATATAGTTATTTGCCGCTGAGAGTGTGAGTATATACATTTATAATACTCCCTTTGTGTCGATTAGCGTATTTTTGATGAAATTGTAGTTGTGTAATTAAATCAATTCACATTTTATCATAAACGAGGGTGGTAACCGCAGTTTAGACCAACAGCGGTGTCTGCTACTCCTCAATAAAATGCTTGGAGGTGCGCAAGCAAACGGATTTCTAATCTTTAGTTGCAAAACTGTTAACATGCAGACTTCTATGAAATTCATTGAATTCTCTACTGTTTGATATTATTGTAGATTTAGTTACTTCGTATCACAGACGATACAGATTGCCAGCTAGGACTTGCCATGTCATTATCATTGATTGAAGTAACGTGCATTCTGACGGATGAGTCAGACTGAATAATTTTAATTTCATTTTTCAGATCATTCATAAAGCATAAAAATGGGGAATATGTTTGCAAATTTATTTAAAGGCCTATTTGGCAAAAAAGAAATGAGAATACTGATGGTTGGATTGGATGCTGCTGGTAAAACCACAATTCTATACAAACTTAAATTAGGTGAAATTGTTACAACAATTCCTACAATTGGTGAGTGTGCATATATTAATAATTTATTTGTTACTATCAGAACAGTCAGAAAAAAAGAAACAGATAATAAATGTGTATTTCATACAGTAATAATAGATTAAATGAAAATTTGTGGAACTATTTTACTTTACTGTTTTTTTAGCATTTTATAATTCTACTGTGAGCATAAAGTTGTAATTTTCAGATGTTATGATGTCATGATGCTTACAGTTTTTATTATTAATTTTCAGGGTTCAATGTGGAAACTGTAGAATACAAAAACATCAGTTTCACTGTGTGGGATGTGGGTGGTCAGGATAAAATTAGGCCACTGTGGAGGCATTACTTCCAGAATACACAGGTTTGTATTTTTTTTATAAGCAATAGTAATAATTTAATTTCCTTTTTGGTGTAGTGTCACTGATTTATAAGATTTTTTATTTCACAACATTATGGTCTTATTGTTTTGTAATTTGAAGTCAGAATTAAGAAATGTAGTGAGTCATAAAAACTCACTATTGCATATTTTTAAATCCACATGTTACAGTTCTTAAGTGCTCTTTTTCTATAGCTTTGTTTGATTTAGTACAGATCTGTAAAAATCCTGATATACAGATATACAGCTGGACATTTATCTTTAAAAAAAAACTTTGGTGTTTATTAACATAGTATTGTGATTGCAAAATTGATCAACTATTAAAATTAATTAGACAAAGTTAATCTGAATTTATTTAGTTATAATCTTAACAAAATCCAAGTTTATAAAAGATGTAGTTATTATAATAGTTAGGTAATATTAGTTTTCTAAAATTTAGGGTCAATGATCCTTCTCTAAACAATTATCTTGGTTATAAGTTAAAACTTAGGTTAGTACCTACTTGTGCTAACCTAGTCTATTCAATACAATAGTATTCAATACAATAGTATTGAATAGTTTTCACTTTTATGAAATAGATGTTGTTGCAACTTAAGCAAGATTCAAGAGTTCAGTAATCACTTATAAAGATTTTTGGGCTACTTTTTTTTTTGGTCATAACATTTTTATTTCAGTTCTGAGAGGACAATATTGATATATCAATATTATACTTCAATTGGTTTGTCAGTTGTTTGATTATTTTGAAGTAAAAGACAGTTTTCCAACTTTTAATCAGTGTTATTAATAAAAGATAACATAATTTCCATTGTTATAATATGTAATATAGATATACTTTACATTCAGTACAACTTTTTAAACAGAATATTTTGTTCAATGTCTGTTTCTATTGTCTAAATCATAAATTAATATGAAATAATAATGTAGTAGTTGTAGTTGTAAAATTGTATTGTGTTCAGTAGGCATATTTGTCATTTTTAATTTCCAATGAGGAAGTATTTCAAGAAAAAAAAGAAAGCACTAAAATGCACCTCATTAGATGGCAACTGACAAGAATGAAGTTGATTTTTGCAGGAAACGAATGTACCAAAGATAGTTATTTCAGTTCCTTTTAACTTACTAACTTGCAAAGATATCAATACTACATAATAGGAAAAAGTACAAATAGAATACGAGTTGTTAATTGAGTTTTGAAATTAATATCCTTTTATTATAAAAAAAAAATTAATTAAAGTTTTATACATGAAAGAAAATTGGAAATATTGTCATGGAAAAATCAAGAAAGTACTGCAGCAATATCTAGTTTCATTTCAGGAACAATTTTTTTTTAATACTTTAATTATCCTAAAACTTCAATTTTATTAAATCTGGTAGCAAAATTGGCAGTCTTTCAGTTAAAGTTTTCAAATTGGGATTCCATCTTGAGCACTTGAGATTTGAATTATTTCATATTATTTTAGTAATTTTATAATTGCCTTTTTTGTAGGGTCTCATTTTTGTAGTAGACAGTAATGACCGAGAACGTATCGGCGAAGCGCGTGAAGAGCTCATGAGAATGTTAAGTGAAGATGAGCTTCGAGATGCTGTACTTTTGATCTTTGCAAACAAACAGGTAAAGTATCATTGTTATATACTTTTTTTTATTGATTAGTGACTATTTTATAAGTTCCGTAAATTGCTAATGCCTTGTAACCTTGTCTAAATAACACTCTCGTGACGTCATTAGAAAATAGAAAGTATAGATAGCACAAAAAGCAAGAGATTGATTATTGAAATATTTATGAGTAATCCCCAAAAATAGCATTCTAATAATTTCATAACTATTGATTTGTTAATAAATTCTTGAAAAATATCAATTTATATGTAATATTGAGCAGTATGTAAAATTAGGAAATATGGATAAAAAAATACTTTGTAATAAAGAGATAACAAAAAGATTGGACAATTTTTAAAACATAACCAAAAATAATAATCTTTTGAGACACAGATATATTTATTATTAGTAAAATTATCATTACTTATTGTCAAAATCATAATAGCAGTTGCTATTTTAGTTAACTGTAACAAGTAACATCAAAACTTAACAACAGAAATAAAAAAAAACAAAAAAAAAAAACAGAAATTATGTATGAACTCAACTCTAATAAGTGTACTCGTCAACCAGTGTTTATTTGATATGGGTACTGATTTTTTTAACGCAATTAAGTCAGGAGTGTTAGCAATTTGCGGGGATTATACTAGAACTAGGATTGACTTTATGTCTAATGTTACTTATTGCACTGTTATCCTGTGATCCTGTGGTACTACTGTTCTTTTGATGTCTGATCAGTGGATGTGCTTCTGTTCAGGATCTGCCAAACGCAATGAACGCAGCGGAGATAACGGACAAGTTGGGTCTGCACTCTTTGCGCAACCGCAACTGGTACATTCAGGCGACGTGTGCCACATCCGGCGACGGCCTCTATGAGGGGCTCGACTGGCTCTCCAACCAGCTCAAGAACGCAAACCGCTAACCGCATGTGCGCTACCAACTCACAGACAAATCTGATTACGAAAAGAGACTATGGTTTAAGATATGTTAACTTTATTTGCTATGATATACAATGTATTATGTGCGGAATCATAAATGTATTACCGATGCGTCACCTGGTGACCGAGCTTTCATCGCATGCTCCGAACCGCTAGAGGTAGAGGAACGCTACAAAATCCACGTCGAGCTCGCGGCGGGACTGCGTACATCGTCGTGCTCCAGTGCTCAGTGGTGTTAGGGTCCAGATTTATAAAATGCTTTGTCTGTTCGATCCCCGATGACGTTGAACAAAATATAGTGTGTAAATTTAATGCAAAATTACAATTTTGTTTACGATTATCAGTAACGAAGGAATGGTGTACACGTTGAGTGAACGCGCATTGTGATGTGGATAGGTACGTAGCTGACACGTGATAAAGTGAATCACAGCATAACATGTTTTATATGTATACTATAATTTGGAATAAGTTGTCGTAATAAAGTATTTAAAGTTAATTAACTTTTTATGACTTTGATTTGTTTAGTGATATGCCTGTAGCGACCTTGAGTGGTAGGCAGCTGCTCGATTGTAGCGGTAAGGCGGTAGACGAGGGCGGTAGGCGGTAGGCGGTAGACGGTATTTTATATCGTCCGTACCCGCTACCTATTCACATCGCTTTGTTGTCCAAATTCATAACGTGTCCCTTATTGTCGTCGATTTTTGTGCATATTCCACTAATACTTTGAATGACTTATTGTATGATGATAGTTTATTTTTTATGAAAGTTAACTAGGTAGAGTAAGCTGTTACGTATTTAACATCAGATACAGTTCTTTTAGACGGTACCGTTTCATTTGACGGCTCGTTGTGATGATCCTGCATTTACAGTCGACTTCTCATGGCGATCCGAGATTAACTTGTAATTTAGGTAATAATATGTATTAGATAAACATGATGTTTTGAGAAGTGTTCCCATTTTAATGGGAACAGTGCTCAGAAGATTCTGCGGTATTTTGCTCTTACACAATTAATTATAACTTAGCGTTTTATAATAATTTAGAGAAAATTGTTAAAACACATTTCAGGGATGCAGTTGGAGAATGGTGAATAGACTTTTTTTTATTTTTATGAAAATCAAATGATAAAAAGCGAAATGTGACATTCCGGTTTGTCTTATTGCTGTATTATGGAATAAAATATCCTCACCGACTTTTGATTTTTGCTTTGACATAATATCCTTAATTTTTTCGTTATAATCAGACTATTTTATTACTGAACAAATATATTATTTTAGTTTTCATCAAGTGTTGCTCCCAGTTATAGATAAATGGACTTAGCTCTATTGAATTAACGAGAACTATTAAACTTCTTCATATACAGAGAAAAATATCTCGTCGTCAGTCTGACAGCGCTACCCTCATGAATTTTGAAATGAATTTTTATTTAAACAGGTTACGTTGTTAAGGAGAAAAATAAGTGTGGACTGGAGTCAAGCCAGCAGCGCTATTAATACATATAATAAATTCACTATCCAGGTTATATTTTAGTTCCTTATTTATTAGTATGGGACATAGCAGTGATTAATGGTTTGAGTGAATATGTGGTGCTAGCCTAAGTGCGTCAGGATTATAATTCTCTGAATCAATTGTAACGAATTTATTTTAGAATGAACTTATGAAACATTGAAACTTTAAATCCTGCAAGCGGTCACCACCATATGATACTAAGAAGTGGAATCAATTATGCAAAGAGTCTTGGTAACCACGACGAATGACGAAATAGATATGTGATAGAATCTGGATTATGGATCAAAGGCAAATGTGTGACGTCTGCTGTATATATCCTATTAATATTATAAATGTGAAAGTTTCTTTGTTTGGATGTTTAGATGTTTGGATGTTTGTACGTCAATCACGCCGAAACTACTGAACGGATTTTGATGAAATTTGGTATACAGATAGGGTGTTAGCTGACTTAGATAATAGGATACTTTTTATCCCACTAAACATTTCCCTAGGGTCCACGCGGGCGAAGCCGCTGCCGAAAGCTAGTAATATATACATCTGAAACAACGAAGGCTAGACACACTGCGGAAAAGTTAATTTTCGAAAAGCACCCAGGACTTCTTTTAAACAGTTCGTTATATTTTAATTATACAAAATAAAAATATATGGATTAATATTATAAAATACGATTTTGAAAGTTATTCTTGGATCATAAAATTTGTATGTATACATATTCACATCTCAAAATGATCGCAAATGAGGAAGTATTATATGAGGAATGAGGAAGTAAATAAATTAGATCCCGAAATCGAACTTACTTGATTTCTACATGACAACCCTTCCGATTTCTTTCATTTATAAAAGTATATTAATTTTCAAAACTCATTAAACAACTCATATTCTATTTGTATTTTTTCGTATTTGTATTGATAACTAAGTTACGAGCTTTGCAAATTTCAATTATATTTTTAATATGTTAGTTAAAAGGAACGGTTATGTCTACCTTTGGTTCATTCCTTTTCTGCAAAAATCAACTTTTGCTAGAGTTGCCATCTAGTGATATGCTTTTTTAGTGCTTTATTTTTTTTTTTATACTTCCTCATTAAACATTTATACTTATGAATGAAATGTGACCCATTGATCTTTAGTCGACTTATGTAGTTTCTACAGTTTCGCATAATACAGGATGGCATTTTAAAAATGAATATTGTACATAAATGCACACAAAACATATATGCACTTTCGGTAGATTGGGCTCAAATATGCTAATTAGCATGGTTTTTAGGTGACGCTTTTTGAAATCAAGTAACCAATCTACCCTTTTTTTATTGTAATATCATTGATTATAGTGTACTTTCTCTGAGAGTAGTACAAAGGAGGATGTTTTTTTTGGTACTTAATTCTGAAGAAATCTAACCACTATAAAGAAAATTATTATGGCATCTAGACTTAATCCTTTATCTTTCATCAAAGTTTCAGACCTGAAAGTTCCCCCGTTTTAGATAATTAAGTTTAAAAATATGGTAAGGTTAAAGGTTAATTTACTAGAAACACTAGTATACCCAGCCATAAAACTCATTAAAAAAAAAATAAAGCGCAGAAAATTAAAATAAACGCAAAGGGATCTTTGTCCACACCATAGCTTTTGGTAGGGTACTTTGGGGTTATTACGAAAGTGGGGAAATTCCGATAATAAATTAAATAAAAAGCAATATCTTTGTTATAATTAAATTTTTTTTTTTTATCTAGTAAAAGCCTGTTGTTGTTGTTAATTCGTCACTTTCAGGCATCCTGAATTTACCTGTTTTGTGTATTATCCCAAAGCACCTTATAATTACTTAGCGTTCCATGTAGTCGAATCATATATCAATATTGTAAAAAACGAATTCGTAATTTGTTTACTATGTGTTTATTATAATAAGTTATGCACTGAATGGACTCAAATGGGGCCTAATTTGCGTTGACGAGCTTCGATTAATTTAAAATATCTCTTTATTTGACATTTAGGGGTCTGAAATGACAATAATTAATAGTAAATAAAAATAATAATTCCACATTGTCCATATAGATTGATTCACAGCATGAATTGGAATGTAACGTAGGGGTGGGGTTGCCATAGATTTTCTTAATGCACTTGTGTTGCTACATAAATTATAAAATATCCACCAAATGATGTTGAAATCAGAAAATAAACATTTTGGTGGAGCCTAAAAATAAAATAAAATGATGATGAGTAAGGTTTATTTATTCTCTTCGATTAATATATATTTTATACTTGGTTAGAGATAATTTGGATAAAGTATCAGCCTCCATGCAAAAAAGTTCTCTTTTGGTTTAAACATTTTCAATCATGCATGTCGCTCCGGTCGCCCTGTTACGGACCAAATGGATGCTATTATTGAAAGAGTGGATCAATATCGAAATATCAGTAATTACGACGTAACTGAAGAACTGGGGATTGACCACAAACAGATTTGGCGCATTTGAAACAAGCTGGGTACACAAAAAAATTAGATAATTGGGTACCTCACGAGCTGAAAGAAAATAAATGTACCGTAACAAACGCGATGAAACCGTTTAAAAGTTAGTAAGATAGTGCATGTGAAAATATAAGTAATCAATTGAATTATTTATTTTTCAATGCAGTTGCTCATAAAGCGCTATTTTCTTAATTCATTGTTAACACCGAAAGTAAGTCTTTAATCACGTGTTAAATAAAAATGTACTGAAATCCTTTACTGCACACGTGCTTAAGAGTATTCTTTTTAATATTTTTTTTGACCGAACACCAAAGAAATTAAAAAAAAATTGATGTAAATATATCAAACTTTAGAGGCTAAAGTATTTCAAGGAGCCTAGAATGAATATTTTCAAATAAAAATAAACTTGAGCGTAATAATTATTTAAGATACGAGATTTTCATTGGCACGAATTCGAAAAACATTATACGCTCAAGTTTCTTACAACATTTTTCAATGCTTTTTTCGAGGAAATAAAACAAATATATAGGTTAATAAAACTAAGTATGTATTAAAGGTAAAAATTTGTTAAAATTCAACGTGATATTTGAACATGTTTTCGTGTCATACATTTTTATTTGAAAATATTCGTTTTAGGCTCTTTGAAATACTTTTGCCTCTAAAGTTTGACATATTTTCATCATCATCATCATCATCAGCCCATATTCGTCCACTGCTGGAGATAGGCCTCCCCAATTGCACGCTATCTACTTCGATTTTCGGCTGTTCGCATCCAGCTCCTGCCAGCCATCTTACGCAAATCATCGCTCCACCGCGCCTGAGGACGTCCTACACTACGTTTGTCGAGACGCGGTCTCCACTCAAGAACTCGTTTACCCCAACGGTTATCGGTTCTGCGGCTAATATGGCCAGCCCACTGCCACTTCAGCTTCCTAATCCGGTGGGCTATGTCGATAACCTTGGTTCTCTGCCGGATCACCTCATTTTTGATTCGATCCCGCAGAGAAACGCCGCGCATAGCCCTTTCCATAGCTCGCTGAGCGACCTTCAACTTGTGGACCAGCCGTGCCGTCAGTGTCCACGTTTCGGCTCCGTATGTCATAACGGGTAGGACGCACTGATTAAAGACTTTCGTCTTTAGGCACTGCGGGATCGACGATGTGAAGACCTGACGTAGTTTCCCAAACGCTGTTTTTTTTTTGTGCCCAACCTAGCCGAACTCATCCATTTACCTCGCTCTCGAAGTTGTTTCTATCTAACTGCAATTTTTGCCCGAGGTATACATATTTTGGAACAATTCCGAGAACGGCACCGCATACTGCAATCGGTTCCGGTAGTACGTGTTCGTTAAACATGACCTTGGTTTTATCCAAATTCATCCGTAGGCCGATGCGCATAGAAGAGTCAGCCAGGTCATTCAGCATCTGTTGTAGGTCCTGCAGATTTTCTGCCATGATGACGATGTCGTCAGCAAATCTCAAGTGAGAGATGTACTCGTCATTGATGTTGATGCCACGTCCTTTCCAGTTCAGCGTCTTAAACATATCCTCCATTGCATTAGTAAACAATTTTGGAGACATAACGTCTCCTTGTCTCACTCCTCGATGCAACGGTATAGGACTTGTCTGCTGATTCTGTACTTGGACGGTCATGGTGGCGGCCTCATAAATACATCTTATCACTTGGATGTATTGCCAATCGACTTGCATCGCTGCAGGGACTCCAGAACGGACCAGATCTCAATCGAGTCAAAGGCCTTCTCATAGTCCACAAATGCTAGACACAGGGGCTGATTATACTCTTCAGTCTTCTGTATAATCTGCCGCACTGTGTGGATGTGGTCTATGGTGCCGTATCCACTCCGAAACCCAGCCTGCTCCGGTGGTTGGAATTCGTCAAGTCTTTGCGCAAGACGGTTCGTGACTACTCTAGAAAACAGCTTATAGACGTGGCTTAGAAGGGAAATGGGTCGATAGTTCTTCAGCAGGGTTTTGTCTCCCTTTTTGAAGAACAGGACGACTACACTCCTACTCCACGCCTGCGGAGTTCTCCCTTCGAAGAGGACAGCATTAAAAAGCTTTTGGAGCTCCTTCAGTACCGGTTTACCTCCTGCTTTTAATAATTCAGTTGTAATGCCATCCTCTCCAGGGGCTTTTCTATTTTCATCAATTTTTCTTAAATTTCTTTGGTGCTCGGTCAAAAAAAAATTAATAAAATACTTT